AGTCTTGTCATATTGCTTATGATGAAGAGGAGAAGGAAGCTTCCATTAAGTATTAATTAAACTGGAGGGAATGAAGAATATTTGGGAATCTAAATCAAATATTTATACTTTTTTTTTTTAATTTTAGTTTGTATATATTTTAATTGTTCTTTCTCTCTACCTATTAAAGATTCCAGTGCTGAATATTCAAATGAAAATTTTTCCTGCGCTTTGTACTGTAGCAGGGACCATATTTTCCTGTACAAATTACTTCCGTGTAATCTTCACAGGTGGTGTTGGCAAAAATGGATCAACAATAGCAGTGAGTATATCTTAAGATTTCTGTTGATTTACAAACTAGGACTTGGTTTTGTGGTCAATTTGTTTTTCATTTGAAGTATATAAAATCATTAGTTAATTTAGTATTTCTACTTAGCCTTAAGGAAAAGTGTCCAAAACTTCTCAGTTTTATATATACATACATACATTTAAATGCTTATATATGCATGTTCTTGTGCATGCACAAACACACACATATTTTTAGAAAGTATGATCTGCTTTGTAAATAATAAGCCTAACCCGTTCTTGCTGCTGCTTTTCATTAGCTCTTCCAATGTTCAGTTTATAGATATTGTTGGCTGTCGGGCACTATGGGGTTATAGAAAGTTTGAGATGATCCATTTTATGATAGATCCATGTGTATCTGATGAACATTGAATAGTACCCTTACCACCTCTCTTCACTCTGTACAGGGAACAAGTGTCCTTTCTCCTTTTCTCCATATTGGATCAGTGATTGCATTAGCTGTAATGATCTACAAGAAATCAGCAGTTCAGCTTTTTGAGAAGCATCCCTGTCTTTATATACTGACATTTGGTTTTGTATCAGCTAAAATCACAAATAAGCTTGTGGTAAGCACCTCAACTCTACTTGTTTTGTTTTTAACTTTCATCTTATTTTGGTTTTATGGTCCTTGTTTTTATTTTATAGCTTCCTAAACAGACTAGGGTTTACAATAAAAATCTTTTGAAATCATTATGGAAGCTATTTTTAGTCTTTTGTAAAGCTGCAGTTTGAGATTACCAGAAGTTCTTAGAACCCCTAGAATTTTTCACCATTTTATGCACTCTTATAATTTGGTTGTTCAGTTTATCTGCACTCTGTAGTATATTGTCTTCAATCTGGACACTCAAATTAAGGCTCTTTGGAGAAAGCATTTGCAAGCTTAGTTTGACATGATGTGTCCCTTTCACACATCAGATTATTGAGTTTTTAGTGTTGGAAACTCAACAACTATTGCTGAATAATTCTTGAAACTCTGTGTGAATACAACACTGATTTACCACGTTGCTCCCAGTTGCTTTAATATGAAAATGCCTACATCATTAATTTTATTCTATTCATAGGTTGCACACATGACGAAAAGTGAAATGCATTTGCATGATACAGCTTTCATAGGTCCAGCACTTTTGTTTCTGGACCAGTATTTTAACAGCTTTATTGATGAGTATATTGTACTTTGGATTGCCTTGGTAGGTATTCTGCTATCTTATTTCATGATTTGGTACTCCTTGTTTGTTTGTTTGTTTTTAATGAGCCAGTCCTAATTTATAGAATCATAGAATTATGAATGGGAATGCCAGAAATCCACAAATCACATATATAAGGCAGTGTGGAAGTTCCTTGTGACTTTGTATTTGAGGTTTTTGTTTCTTTGTTTTGCATTATTTTTATTAGTTCTTCCTACATTAGGACTCATAAATTCCAAATTTCTGACCATGTAAATCAGAAATTCAAACTATACCCTGTAGGCCCTTAACCTGTTTACCTAAGCCACAGCCGTTCCTTTCTGTATTGTCTGTGGCTGCTTTCATGCTATAGTGGCAGAGTGGAAGAGTTTGGACAAAAGACAAAATTTAAAATATTTACTGTCTCTCTAAGAGTTTATTGATCTTTAGTGGAAAGGAAAAAGTATGGAGAAACTGAGTTACAAAATTATATAGAATTGATGGTGAATTTGAAGAGAGAAGTAAGATGCCACTCCTTTCCTTTGGGGAAATGTAGAGATTACCTAAGCAGGTGCTGAGAATCTAACAGTCCCTTTTCTTTCCAGGTCTTGTCTTTCTTTGATTTGATCCGCTACTGTGTCAGTGTTTGCAATCAGATTGCGTCTCACCTGCACATACATGTCTTCAGAATCAAGGTCTCTACAGCTCATTCTAATCATCATTAATTAGTTGGTGTTATATAGGAAACTCATGTTTTCTGCAGGAAAGAATCTGAACATATTAAGAAGAATGGGGGTGAATAAGAACAAATATAATTTATAATCAATGTTATGTAACTTTTATTCTTTGTTACTGGTAACACTCCCTAACTATCCTGTGTGAGAATGGGAATTTCAAGTCCCATCCTGTAAATTGTACATGTCATCATACAGGGTTTGGCCCAAGAAAGCATGCAGGAAAAAATGCCATGTGTTTGTAATTATCCTGGATTCAGAATAATATTGTCATGGGGAGCAGGTCCCCAGTGAAGGAGATTTCTAATGTAGAATATTTGCAGGCCAAAAGATGGTTGTTTTATAATTTTAACAAATTATCATCTTTTAGTAACACCCTTGTTTATGTCTTCTCAAGCTTTCTTTACTAAAGAGCTCAGCTTGTGACACAGATACATCCCACTAGCTTGTGAGGTGAAATGAGTGATAAAGACCTGGAATTTGGGTTGAAAGGTTTCCTATCTTCACATTGTTGAGGATGTAATTTTTTTATTGCTCAAGAAATGGTATCTCTTGTGGGCTTGGGAAATCCTATTAGCATGCAGAATAATGTGGTAACTTTGTCGATCCATTTTATTTTTTTAAATAAATAAATGATCTAAAAGCCAGCTTTTTCTCAAGTTTTATTCAGTGGGAGAGATAAACTAAGTTTAATGTCATTTTTTAAAATATAAGGAAAATTTATTCCTGTTCTTTAATAAATAAGGAAATTTGGTCAGCTGTGTTGTCATACTATGTCCCATGACCGACCTATCTTATAGAAACTATTTAACTTATAAAAGATGAACAGTGTTCATCTTCCCTCTTGATGGGTTCATTGTGTTATAGTCATTCCCTTACCCTTGTGATTATGGGTCATTTGGGAATCTTGAGTCCTTTCCCCTACATTTTCAGTAATTGCCTGGGTTCTCTCTAAGGGGTCATTTTGCACTCTTCTTTTCTGGCACACTCCTTTTCCGTGTTTATACTACAATTTGAAATAGGAACTAAGTGTCCTTGTGAACCAGATCTATTTTCATTTGTATAGGTGTTCAGTTGCTTGAATGAAGAGAGAGACAGCAGAAGCATTTTAGGGTTAAAATAAACTATCTTATTATTGACTTTTATTTATACCTTGTTCCATAATCCAGAATAAGCAGTAGCTGCACTGCCTTCCCTGGCAGCCAGAACTGCACTTTCTTGCACTCTTCATGAGTCCATCAGTCCAGTGTAGATCTGGATTAGCAAGATGAGTTAAACCTTGAATTTCTTTCCTAAACTGTAATAGGAAATGAAATCTCTTTTATTACCTTTGTTTGTTAGTAACTTCTCCAACATCTGGGATAGAGAAACACATATAGGAACGTGCTGGGACACAGCAAAGTTTTGAAAGCTAGGACAAAGCAGGAAAAAGGAGGATAATTCTTGTTCAACAGTTGCATCTGTTGTCTTAGTTAATTATCACAACAGGCACAGCAGGCATTCATCACCTGGAAGGCATTAATCACCTGGCGAGCCTAACTGCCATACCAATGGCACACAGTATTGATATCCTTTAGAATGGAGACTAGAATCCATGTCTTCTGAATACTGGTTCAGTGTTTTCTCCTACACCACACTGGATTTTAGTGAGCTAAATCTGTAAATTGAGATGTTGAGGGCTAATTGAAATGTATATCCTAGAGTCTTTTTTCAGCATAAAGGGAATCTGAAAAGCACTCAGATGCAGTGTGTGCTTCAGCCCTAGATATCATTTTCAAGGGTACATTTGTATAGTTCCACTGGTTCTGATTATTATGTTGATTTATCTAGTGGAGTACTAAAATCACTTGAAGCACCTTTTTAAAAAATATGTAGATTTCCAGATCTTATCTCTAAGGACGTTTTGGTAGATTTAGGATGGAGCCTCAGTATTCTCATGAGCTTCCCAGGATTCTGGTCCCTGCTCTGAAACCTTTTGAGGTACAACTAAGTTTAGGAACAGAGGCCATAAACTGCCTAAAAAGATGTTGTGATTCTTAGAAGCTGTGAAGAACAGCAACATAGTTGGCACGGTGTGGACAGTAGAACACCTGCAGTAGTGTCTCTGTGTTCTCCAGATCAATTTATATTGGCTTTAACTTCAATTTGGAAGCCCCCCTGACCCTTTTCAACCCTACAAAACATTTGTATTCTTTATAAAATTCAGAGACTCTGAGGGCCACACTCAAATAAAAGAGGTAAAATTTTTGAAAGACAAGATGCTTCTAAAAATGTTTCCCATATCTTGCAATGTTTAAACAGAAGCTGTCAGTAGAGGTATAGAGGGAAGAGGGACTAAGTAACCACTAAACTCCTTAGACTCTTGCAGTTATGATTCTGTTTTCCCAAAAAGAAAAAAATGTCAATACAGGGATCCCTCTACCTTTAGCCAAAGAATCAAACTGGGCTTCTCAAAACAACAAGCAGTTGGAAGTGGGATATCTAAAACTGCAGGTAAAGTACTAGTCCAATCAGGGAGTGATGGGCAGGCATATGTATTTATGGAAGCCAGGTAGTGACTTCTGTTGACTTGAGATTCCCCACTCAAGCTGCTCTGTACTCTCCTGCCCTGTGTCTGGCGCTGCTACTGCTTTTACCAGGATCTCTTATCCTTTTAGTAAGTGGAGTACTGCTTGACCCCTGTGACTCTATGACTCTAATCATAGCCCACCATGACCAAGGCCTCCTCTTCTACTCCAGTTTATTCTCACATGTATTATCTTACACATTGACACACATGTAAACAATGAGATTCTCGCCTTTATTATCCTCATATGTCCATAGACCTCTGTTTTTATGTGGAGGAGCTGAGCCTTTGGGCCACAACTTCTTTCAGCTCTGCAGAGGATTTTGTAGTGGTGGTTCCCAGGAGACATCAGTTGCAGTAACTTGTAGCCAAGCACCTACAATACTTGTACTACAGTTTCCCACTCTGCAAAAAAGGCAGCTTTGAGTCCAGTTCTGTGAGCTTGGGGTCTGAGCCCCCAAAAAGTCCCAAGGAAGCTCACACCTGTGATCCCAAACTCAGATACCAGTATGAAGCAAGACCTGGACACCAGGACTCTGGAGAAGGCCATGGGTTCTGGGAGCTGAGCTTTGCTGATCCCACCACTCTGGCAGGGGCCAAAGTCCAGAACTGGCTTGTAAGTCAAGTCATTCCTGTTCACCACGCTCTTATTTCACAGTCTTTTCCCTTGATTTCTTCTGTTTCTTCTGTTCTTCATATTCAAGTATTTTTTGTTGGAAATAGCCTGTGGGTTCAGATATAGATGTTAGGCATCTAACATGATCAGGCAGACTGATGAACTCAGGAGTACAAATGAGAAATACCCTCTGCACCCCATACTACATACACCACAAACCAACTTTTTAATATCAGCTAATGAGGCATTTTCTTAGGTTTCAGATTCCTTCCTTCCAAGCCCACTAATAAACTTTACAGCTCTTCTATGGGCCTCTAGAAAGAAATATTCTTCCACCCCCTCCTCTGTATCCTAAAGGTGACCTCTGTTTGAAATAAGGCTAGTGGGGGCTGTCACTGTACCTGCAGGAGGATTCTTGCTCTTCTCAGCTTCTTGGATGAAAAGGGAGAAGAGCTGTGTCTTCACAAACTTCTTCACAAATCGGCGGTTGGTCTTAGAGGACACAGCCTTACAGAAGGACCGTTCTTGGAAATGGCCTTGCCCGTTTGCCTCCCGTTTGATATAGGAAGCATAGTGACCCACAGTCTTGACAAAGAACTGTACAAAAGGGCCTGAAACATGTTCGTTGATTTGTTCTGAAGCTGTCAGAGATATACAATGACCATCTTAGAGGGTGGCAGAGGATAAAGTTACTCATCTCACCTCTAAGGACAACTTTCATTTCAGGCCAACAGTGTCTAGGGAAAGCAGGGGGACAGGAGTTCATGATACCAACTGATGGATTGAGATGAGAGCTCGGGTGTGGGTTCTCTGCCATTGCTTAGGAAAAATCTCATATTCCAACTTGCTTCAAGATTTAGGCCTCTGAGGCTGGCCCAGGGCTGCTGAATGAGTATATTTTAGTTCTGAAGGGGAATAATTGCCCTCAAACTCCTTGAACAACCACAAAATAAGAGGACTTACTCAAGTCACTGATCCCCTGATCAAGAGAGACTAAGATGTCCTCTTGAAGCTTTGGTGGCAGGATATCTTTTTCATCTCCAACCTGGAAGAGGATAGTCAGCTCAGAGTTCCAACAAAGAGGAGGTACGGAAGGAAGGAGGTAGCAGAAGACCATGAGGGGAGCATGAATTCCACACCCTTGCTCCACCCCCAAATAATCGCTCACGTAGAGAAACAACAGAGCTGTTTCTTCATCTTCAGTTTGGCTCAAAACATTAGCAGGGGATCCCCTCCATTTCTGTAGTACTTGGTTTATATACATTACTTGAGGTACGAGCATTGATCACCTGGTAATGAAGTGGTCAGTGTCTATAGGACTTCCTCAAGAGCAAGGAGGTCTTAATACCAGGAGTTCTCACTCAAATGTTCGTCAAAATAGGGAAAACCCCATGAGGCTAGAGTGGCTGCATTGGTGGTGGGTCTGCAAGGACTCAGAACTCAGATGCTTACCGATAATAAGAAGGTTCCTTCACAAAGATTCACCAGCAAGACCTGAAAGAAACAGAATGGTTTTATTCCTTCACAAACCATAGGAGGACTTACCATCTGCATTTCTGACTCTGGCTATTAGATCTTTAGGCCTAGAGGACCATGAAATCAGCATCTCCAAATCTCATTTCCTGCCTGGCATTCTCCTTCCTTACCACTTTCCTCGAGAATCTGTTTCCTTCCTAGGGAAAGGGTGAGCATGTAGAAAGAGGTAAGGGAAAGAGCCCAGGTAGAAGGGGGTATGATATGGGGAAATCCTAGCCAGTAACTGCCTGAAATAAAACACTGATCATAGTAATTGCTCTTATTATAGAGCCTTTAGTACCTGGCATACATGATAAGCACTTTGCACATTTTCGCATTTAAACCTGGCAACAGTCTTGTGAGGCAGGTACTACTTCCATTTGCAAATAAGGAAACATCTAAAGAAGTTCAGTCGCTAGAGGACATACTGCTGACAAACAGCAGGACCCTTTCAGAGCCTAAACTGTGCTGTCCTTGGGATTACATTCCTCTCTCTACACTAGCCCTCCACTTGTCAGCCTAAGGACCAAAGTGGACGTGTTTCCATCTTTTAATGCTTGCAGCAACTTTATGTACAGTTGCCTGAGGTTCTATTTAAAAATAATAACAATCTAGGAGCTTTGAGCCTATCAGCAAAAAAAAAAAGACACAGCATGGAAAGGAATGAGGAGACAATGTGCCTACAAACCACAGGTAAGTCAAGCACAGGGCTGGAATATGGGGGACCGTAGTTCCAGAACCAGCTCCATCTCAGCCTGAGGGGCCTACAATGGAGATGAGAAACTATAAACCGGCATGCTGCTGCCTGATTCCAACTAGAAGATCTGTTAGATTCAGAGTATTTTAAAATAAATGGATTAGTTCCTGATATTTAAATCGGAATATTTTGCTTGAAATTTGGATTTGGGGCTCTTCCTAAAATGTCAGGCCCTCTAATACTGATCCATGTTTTAAAGGGCAACATGCAGCTGCCCTCTTTGGGCAGGATATGCAGTCACCAGTATACCAGCCCCAAATCCTGTGTTGGGCATTAGGGGCCTGTGCTGGGTCCCTCTTTTTAGTTTTTGATCTTGGTCTTAACAGGAGGGTGAAGGATCTTCCCTTCAAACATAAGAGAGGGACTGAGAAGTATACCAAAAAAAACAGCCTGCACTGTAATTATCCATCATCAGGGGAGAAAAGCTGAACTAGTCCAGGCCTGAAACTACTTGTATACAAAGGCTAAGATGCCTTCGGCAGGAAAAGCTGTTCATTTGGGGGGGGTTGGAGGGAAAGAGTATGTATGAAGAATTCTTTTTCAAAGTTGCTCCTAGAAGTTCTTTCAGTATTTGGGCACATTGGTGTCTGTGGACTAACTCCTTCCCTAGAGCTATGTGGGGAGTTAGGGGATCCCCACACACACTCTGGCCACATTGCCCTCTTCCTTCCACACCCTCTGCCCATTTCTCTGAGGAATGAAACAAGCCAAGGCTCTTGGCTAGTAGGAGCGGAGTCCATTGGCTCTCAGATATCTTCCCTCTGGGTCATGAAGGGAGGAGCTACAGCTTCCGAGGAGCTGGAGCTGCAGAGTCAGGAAGTTTCATAACTTCTAGGGTTGGGACAGTTTAAGTTTCATTGCCAAACACAGGGCTAATACTCTGTCCCAGTTAGTCACAAGGCTAAGGGTGGTTCAAAGGGCATGTGTACACAGTCAGCAGTTCTGAGGAGGGTGGGAGAGCTGGGGGAGAGAAGAAGGGAAATGCAGCCTGCTTCTCAGCTTCCCAGCAATGCTTTCCATGGATAGAGTGGTTTTATCTGTGCAGGGATCTGCTGCTGCCTGTGTGGCCTCAGCTCAGGGTTCTGTGCACCTTAGCTATCTCTTATGCAAAATGGGGGAAATCCTTCCACTAGGGCTGGCTTGGGGGCCTGTTCAAGTAGCTTCCTTCTAGACTCCTCTCCCCTGGGTAGCCCTCTCTCTGCATAGAGCCAGGACAGTCATTCCCAAATAGTTCTTCTGCTTTCAGATAACAGTAACATGCCATCTTTGAAGTTATAACAGACAACTCAAAACAGGACATGTTTTCAGTTGATTTTCTAACTATTAGAGATTTATGTGATTAGTGTCCTTTTCCACAATTGAGCCCTCTGCCATGTCAGCGGCACTTCCAAAAAATAAGAAACTAAAAAAATAAAACGGGATTTGAATCTATATCCTCATAAACCAACTAAGCTCTGAGCCACTCAGAAAGATGGTGCTTGTTGTAGAAATTGGCATTCTCAAGACACATAGTTTGCAGGAAGGCTCATTTCCAAGGAATTTGAGTGAATCCCAGTGGGGTGTGTGTTGTATAGACCAGCTGGGATCATCCACTCCACTGAGAGATGGGACACCCCAGAGATTGTTCATTAGGGCCAGCTGGTACAGGACAGTCTCATGACCTCCGAATAAGCTACATGCTGCCTCTTAAACACAAGAGAAATCATTCAGGAGAAGACAGCCAACACTTAATGAGCATCAACTGTGTGGCAGGCACCGGACTAGAAGGTTTATAAAGGAAAATCCCCCAGAATCCCTAGGAACTGAACACTTGTCCCCATTTTACAGAGTAAGTCACTTGCCCCAAATCATATAGCTGTAAGTAGCAGAACCGGGATCCAAATCCAGGTCTACCTGGCTCCAAATCACGTACTCTTCTGGCTGCAGCATACCTCTTCCATGGGGCTGTCCATAACTTCCTGCTGAAAGCGCATTTGTACTCCAACCATGAAGGGAGTGGGGCAGCAGACGGTGGCCAGAAGGCTCTCGGGCACAACAGGGATGTAGGTGTGTGCCCAGCTGAAGGGGTACAGCAGCGCAGCAGCAGCATGGATGCACTGAGACAAGGTACTGGGATGGAGCACAGAGAGGAGAGTCAGAGAGGACCCTGCACCTCCGCCCTACACACCCTCTCGTTGCCCTGCACCCACAGCAGCTACTACAAGTCCTTCCTGCACCTGTGCAAAAAGGCAAGTCTGGGAGCCACGCAGATCACAGAGCTTGTCACCACTTGTTGCCAGGAGAAGGGCAAAAACCAGGAGAGGTTCCCTCTCTGCACTAAGGAGCCACAGGCTCCACTAACCCAGGGTGGGACATCTATTTGATCTTTCATTTCCCAATTAGTCATCTCATTACTGGTCCAAAATAAAAATGGCTCAGAAGTGGGGAGAGAAGAAGGGATGTCTTCATTCAAACAGAGAAGTGACAGAGCCACCAATGTGTGCGGACAGCAGTGCTGAGGATGATGCAGATACCAGGAAGAGTAAGACACTGGGCCTGCTTTTAAGGAACTCACAGTGGAGATAAAGAGACAAACTGTCCACCTGGGCCTCAGTGCAGAGCAAAGCCTTTTCTCCTAGTGTCTATAAACCTTCATCCCCCACCCTGACCTCACATGGCTCACCCTGGCCACTTGAGGGTATTGAAAGCTACCAGGTTGGTGCCCAAGTTAGCTTGGGAAATTCCTAGATTCCAGGAACCTCTGGCTCAGCAATTCCTACATGGAAAGTCCCACAGAGGTGGCTCCTCTAAGCTATACAAGAAAGCATCCCTCATGTCATTCCTGCCCAAGCACAGTCAGCCTTCTCCTTGCCCCCCAGGCACGCACACATGCACACTCTGGCTTCTATTTAGCAGCTTCCACGGCTCTTCATTCCTCCAGCCAGATCGCCCCAAAGCCAAGGCCAATAAAAACACAGATGCGGAAACCTTGTTTCAATTCTTGGTATCAAGCTAGCACTTCCTGAGTAAGAAAGGTTTGACTCTCTGAGCGTGCAGCTACAACTCTGGCTGACTGGAAGTCCCCTCCCAGTGCGAGCCTCAGGAGCCTGAAAACTCCACATGGGAAGGAAGTGGGGAGTGGTGGTATCTCCCTGGAGAAGGTTCACTCCTTCCCCCTTCGCTTCCCAAACACTGATCTGAGGGGAAGACCAGAACCCCAGCCCCAGCCACCACAGAAACTTCTTTCTACACAGACCTAGGAGTGGAAGAGCTTTTTGTTTGTTTAATATTTTTTTAGTTGTTGATGGACCCTGTATTTGTATGCGGTGCTGAGAATCAATCCCAGTGCCTCACACATGCTAGGCAAGCGCTTTACCACTGAGCTACTACCCCAGTCCTAGAAGAGCTTTTTTTAAAGCAAAGATGATGTCTTTCCCACAAGGATTAAACTAATTCTAGTTCCTCTTTAGTTGTCACTGATTTTCTTTTGAATTTCAACACACAAATCCCAACCCCTACCCAAGCTTCCTCTCCTCTGAAACCCATGACATTCATCTAGACCTCTGACCTCTGTTATTTCTCTAACATCCTTCTCTTCTTCCCTAAAAGTTAGAACAAGGGCTGTCAGCTCAGTGACATTGATCTGTTCCCCCACCCTCTGCCCAGATATAAATAGAAGGTTAAACCCTACTATTTTATGATTTTTTTTTCTTCTTCATCTGTCACATGTCTCCCATGTACTTTTTAGACATGAAGCCTTTCGGAAGTAGAAATCAAGATGTGACCGTGCCCTGCTTTGACTACACACAGGGAAATCCTTAACTGTGAACTTCTTAATAGCAGCTAATCCTCATCAATATGTCCCTGGCCTGGGGCTAGATGCTTATAATGTGAATATTTCCTTTCATTCTTTACACAACCCTGTGGCTAGGTACAATCATTTCCCATTCTACAGAAAAGAAGATCATGTCTTCAAGAAGTTAAGATGGGGACCTGGGGGGACCCTCATAGCTGCAGATGGAAAACAGGATTTGAAACTCATCTGCTGATTTCAATACCAATGCTTTCAACCACTACGCAATCCTGCAACCCCTTAAGGTCAAGAACCATGTCCTAGAAGAGTTTTTTTTAAAGCAAAGATGATGTCTTGTTGGTATCTTCCCAATGCTTTTATCTGGCAAACAGCTGACACACAATAAACGTTTGTTGAATGAGTGAATCAATGGGTAGATAGGCTTATCCTTCATAGCATCAGATGCCCTCCTGGACTATTCTCCACCCCTTCTCCTCACTCAGCCTTGCAAAGGCACAACCATGCCTGCATTCACCCTAACTGGTCTTGCCTAGGCTGTCTCAGGAACAAGGACAGTTCAGTGTCCTGCTTCAAGCCCAGGATATAACTGAGTTTGGAGACAGGGCAGGGGAGTTGCAATAGATGTTTTTCTACATCTAAAATGAGGATTCAAGAACAGGAATCAGGAGAGTGGACACACAGATCCTACAGTCTGACTTCCTTTGAGAACCTCTAGTCTGTTCCCGTGGCCGAGGGATGCAGGCCATCCAGTGACTGAGCCCACCTGAGACCTTCTGCCAGGAAGATGATCTTTCTCTCCAACACTGCAGAGGCAAAGATCTGAATAATCTGTTCAAAACGAAGACAGTGCAACAGGGAACTAAAATCCACATGTTCGAGGTGGGAGTCCAGGGGCCGGGTCAGTGAGATGTACTGTGGGAAAACCAGAGGGGAGGAGTCATTACATTGCAAGAGCCCTCAGACCCCAGAAAGCTGGGCCGCTACCAGCCCTACTCCATGCTTCCCACTGGAGAAATCTGATCCTGTCTCTTTGCCCCTGTAAAAAACCCACAGGGGGGTTTGCTCTGCTCTAAGGATGGCATGACCTAATCTTCAACATGGCACATGAGGTCCTGCCTTGAGCATGCACCCCTCTCAACATACTTCACACCTGTCTACCTGATTCTCAGGAGCAGACCATGCTCTCCCACCTGAAGCCCTTCACAGGTTGGTCCTCCCTTGCCCCACATGGCTTTTACCTTCTATCAGGCCTCAGAGGCCCACCTTGACCACCGATTACTTCATCATCTTTTTCTCATGTAACGCCCTGGATTTTCTTTGAGATGATACACTTTTTAATTATATATTCATTGATAGTTTGCTTATTTAATGTCTGTCTTCCCTATCAGGCTTTTAGCTCCATCGCGGTAAGGGACCACATTCATTTTGGTCACCACTGGGTATTGGCACACAGAAATCATTGAGTACTTATTTTTCAAGTCAATGAATAATCCTAGATGCTTCCATATTCTTCCATGGGGAAGACAAAGTTTAGAGGGGCACATAGACCCTCCATGGCTCTGGACTAGAATCCCAGGGGTCAGGACTAGAATTCTGTCCCACTTGCTGCCTCAGTCTGTTTTGTGCCTTAGAACAACAGCATCCCCACATACCATGGTGGGGGATGGACTCAGGGATGGGGATGGGCGATAAGAAATAGGCGGGTGGAGGCTACAGGTAAGACAGAAATATAGGACAGACACACAGAATAATAGGGATGTGTTCTATGCAAGCAGCCCTTTGGGGACTGGGGACAAAGTCCTTTCTAGCACCAAAACCCTCAATTTACATGTTTTACTGATCTCAGTGGCTTGAACAATAACTAGGTGCTTTGGGGTATCAGGTTGGAAGGCTCAGCAAATGTGAGTTTCATTGTCAGCTCTGCCATTAATTCTAACCAAGTTCCAGTCCCTGCCTGGCTCAGTTTCTCTGTACGTTAACCTGGTGAGTAGAAGAAGAGTAGTGAGAGGTGCCACAGAAGCCTACCCTCTCCAGCCAGGGGGCTTTCACCCATGTGCTAGCTCACCTCTGTGCCAGAGTCAGGGATGAAGCTCTTGAGGGTGACAGTTTTTCCAGGTGCAGGGAAGGCTGCCTCTCGGAGGCCCTGCATGAATGGGTAGATGACAGCCATGGAGATCTGATGCCTCTTTTCTACTTCATCCAGGATCTGCCACAAGAAAGGGCCACAAGAGACAAGGCTCAGAGGGATGCCACTGATCATCCTGAGGTGCTCACGCTGCTTCAACTTAGTCTCATGCACCTTCGAGGCCCCTCCACCAACTGGCTCTTTCCCTCCCTTGCTCTCAGGCTCAATCATCTGCTCTCATTATCTTCTGAACAAGACCAGATATGTCCTAGCCTTCTTTTCATTCTCTCTACCAAGCCATATGCCTCCCTTCCCACACTAATATAAAACGACAGGCCCCAGAAAGCCACGCCAGAGTACTCAGCATCCATGACAGCAGTGCCTGGAATGGATCCAGTGACCTCTTGAGTGTCACTCTGACCTCCAGTTCCACTGGAGACTCTCCAAAGTCAGGGTCAGGAACTGCTTCCAGCCCTCAGAACACTGCTCAGATGAAAGTTCCGCCCAAGCAAAGCTGACGGAGGTCCTGCCCTGGTCCCCCAGGAGTCTTGCTGGGGCAGAGCACTAAGAAGCCCTTTACAGCCACTGAGACATGTCCACTCTGACGGCTCCTCTCTGATCCTGACTCAGTGTGCTGGGGCTCCAATCAATCCAGCAGCACAAGACCTGGGCACCTCAAGTTCTACCCTTAAAGGGGTTAGAGCAAGGCTTGGGGCCTCTACTGTATGATGACTACCTTCCTATTTGTTCATAAAGAGACTTCTCATCGCAGCCCAGGGGAGAGGAAGCTGAAGGACCATTAGATCCACTGGACAGAGGAGGAAACTGGAATTCAGGGCAGAAGACTCCTGAGGCTCTTCCCCTTATCCTGCTTCAACTGCTTTCTGACTTGACTGGAGTTGGAGCAGTGGTGCTCTCTCTGCAGGGGAAATAATCCTCCAGATTTTCCTAAAATCAAGTTAGGCCCAAGCCCCTCTCTGCTTCAGTGTCCCCAAATGTCCTTGATGAAGGCCAGGCTATGGGGAAGGAGGTCCACTCAGGACACAAGTTGCACAGGAAGGGCGAGAAGCCAGACCAAGCCTGGAAGCCGAACAGGCCTAACAGGCCCTGAGGAATCCTGTTCCACCCCTACCTTGGAGAACAAGCCAAAGCAGCCAATGCAGCTGATGATGCAGTACACTTTGGGAAGTCGAGGGCCGGGGCCGGCGGGCTGGGGAGGGACAAGAGGCATCTTCAGTGCTGCAGCCTTCCCAGTAGTTTCTCCCACCTGGGGCTGAGGAGCTCAGGGCTGAGTGCTGGGGATGGGGGTAAATGGGGACTTATGGGCTGGATGGAGAAAGGCCTGGCTAGGCAGTGGTTCCATTCATGGGACAGGCAGCTGGGAGGTCAGAATGGTCACCAAGGTCAAAAGAAGATGGCCTTCAGGGAGCTGAGGTTCATAGACAAGCCCCGCTGCCTTCAGGGCCAACACAATCTGAAGGTCAGCAAAGCGAGGGAGCAAGCACGTCTTAGAGATGAGGAAATGGCTAAGTAGGACAGCACTGTCAAGGTGCTTGCAGAGAATCATGGAGACCCAAGAAGTGGACCTAGTTGTTCAAATTCCAGCCTCTGCTCTGGGGGACTCCCAGGGGCCAAGGCAAGCAGGTCTGGATAAGAAGACAGGGAGAGGAGTCAAGTGGAGCCTCTCACAATGCACGGAGCTATTAAAAGCTAGGAAGAGCACAGACCAGAACCTGGCCAGCAAAGGTATCACAGGTGAGAAAGAAGGAGTGCAATGTCCTCCCTCTCATGGGGCTGCAGAAGGGACATTAGCAGAATAGCAAGTTCTGGGCTGAGTCCCTACAACCACCACTGCAGGGAGCCTGAGCTTTTGCAGCTGAAGCTTGAGCAAGCCCAGCTGTGGAGCTGAGCAGGCTGCAGATAGGAGGGGGCAGTGCTGGGCGACACAGACCAAGAGGCGCCTGCAGTATCCAATCTTCCTGCTGCCGTCCACATTGGTCAGGACAAAGGAGAAAGTCTCCCTGCAGAAGAGCAAACAAGACTTGGTTTGCATTACTCACTAGATTCTAAAAGGAGGTCAAAAGGGAGCTGATGAATAATCATGTTAGTAATAACCCCAGTGATTTATTAAATGCTTATTGGTGTCAAGCCCTAAAGGCATCACCTCATCGGATCCTCAAAGAAATCTTTTGAGGTAGGTTTGATCATTATTTCCACTTTAAAGATGAAGGACTGAGGCTCTGAGAGGGTGAGAGGATATTGCTTGCTTGCTTTACTTATTTTTGGTACTGGGGTGTGAACCCAGGGCACTTTGTACCACAGAGTCACATCCCCGGTTCTTTTTATTTTATTTTTATTTTCAGACAGGGTCTTGCTAGTTTGCTGAGGCTGACTGTAAATTTGCAATCCTCCTGCCTCAGACTCCTCCCCAGGTCCCTGAGATTACAGGCATGTACCACCACACCCCACCTGTAAAGGTATGTATTGAAGGCAGACTCGTAAGTGGTAAAGCCAAATTCAAACCCAGGGAGTCAACTTCCAGGGCTGATGTCATAAGGGTCTTTGCTATGTTGCCTTCATAGAGGCCACAGGCCTCCTGTCCAGTCCAGTTTCCACCAGTAGCAGAGTCAAATACAATTATTGCTCCTCGGATATCTGAGAATTCCAGCCATCTTTGGACAGAGGTAGAACCACAGCTAGATGCTTGGCCTTAAGGGCCCACAGGCAAGATGTTTATAAATGAATCAACTCCACCCCGTGGCAGGAAATCCGGCATGTACACCAGGGGAGGGGACCACAGGAGACACACGTGGCCCACACTTGCCCCTTCTTTCCCAATCTGATACTCCAGGGTGGAGCAGTTACCTGGGATATTCGGTGAGTGGTGCCCACTCATTCCCATCTGGGAAGCAGAACAAGGGGATGGCTTTGAGAAGCCGCTCCTCCTCCTCCTGCTGCCCTCGAAGCAGATTCTCCCGCTGTAAGAAAAAGAAAGGAAGGGATTGTGAGGGCAGGAAGGATAGCAGGCTTTTGAGGCTTTAAAACTATCTTGGAATATGCTTTTCCACGTGGGGGGTCAAAGGGCACCTCTGTCTGAATTCTGGGTCTAGCAAGAGAGGTCCTTCTGGGCCCCATTGACGTGAGTGTGGGTTGGACTTTAGTATCTTGAGGATCTACATAGTTAAGAAGCAGATCAGGGGCCACACTGCATACTGAAAGGCCCTGAGCTGACCCAGCCCCTGGGAGGGTGATGTCAGAGAGATACCACATCAGAAAAGAGAAGCGGCCAACTCAGTCGCTGCACCTGCTAACGAGAGGGGTTAACCAGAAAGATGCCCTATTTCACCTCTTGCCCAAGTGCAGCATCAGACAAGAAGGAACCTGATGCTTGGGCTGCGGTGCAGTCCCCGGCCTACCCACTAACTCTGTGCTGCCCTGCCCTCTCCTTCCCACAGAGCAGGAGGGGACTCCTTCTAGAAGGCATGGCAGAAGGTAAGCTTCCCTATGGAGAAAGGTGACTGAGGATGGAATCTGGGCAAACTCTGAGGTCCCAAAAGGGGCAAGAGCTCTAGTCTAGCTTCCCTTCTAGGGAGCCTCGGCCTCAAAGAAGCAGGCAGACCTAGATTCTCTGGGTGATAACAGAAAACTAGGGCTGGGCTAAGAAGGAAATAAGAGCAGCACACCCAGAGCTCCAGCCCCGGCAGGGAGGGGGGAAGGAGTGGAACCCCCATTCTCGGCCCCCACCCCCTCCTTCAGTCCTTACCTTGGGAAACTGGTAGGTGATGGTGGGTTCATAGTCGTCTCCTGAGCGCTTTTTTTTAAGAGAAACCACCAGAAGATATTCAAAGAAATGCTGCCCCCCAGCAAAGCTGGGCAGAGAGTTCTCTTGAGTCCTTTCTGGTTCGTTTACAGCTTCCCCTAGATTGTCCCGGGGAGATCCTGAAACCAAGATAGTGCCATCCGTTCAGGATCTCTTTGATCCATTCTGTGGAGTCTGTGAGAATGTGGGCAACCTGCAGGGCTCCAGGCTGCCCTGCCCACGCTGAGACACCTGAGCCTGGCCGGCACTGCCGGTCAGCAAACAAAACCAAAGCCAAGTGGGCAGTTTCCACACACGCCCTGGGAGGTTTAAAACTGGGATAAGCCAAGAGAAGGAGAGAAATCACCGAGGTAGAAGCTGAGGAAACATACTGGACAGGCTCATGGAGACCCTATCCCCTGGGGAACCACAGAGTCTCTGCCTACCGGAGGAGTCCAGGAACAGCAAACCCTGAGTGAACTTGTACTACATGAGCAGGACAGGCCCAAGGGGCATATGACTGTGATCACACCATCCGCCACAGAGGGCACAATCAGCTCTGCAAAACTGCAGGGAAAACCTCATGGCCCAGCCACATGGGGGGACATGTGGAGGTCAACATATGAAGGAAAAAGAGGAAGGAGCACTTCAAGAAAGGAACAGTCCCACTTAAAAGGGTTCTGCTGAAAAAATAGGAAGTGGACAAGCCAGTCCTGACCTGCTCGGTGTCGGAGTCGAGGCAGTCGATTTTGGAAGCGCCTGAGTGCTCGGCCGACCGCTCGTCCTTCCATCTCCCGGGGCCTTCAGGACATGGAGTGGGCTCCCCTTTCCCCCAGCACAGGCTGGCTACAGAGAGGCCACTGCTTTGGTCTCCAGCCACAACTCTCTAAAGACGAGCCACACGCTAGCTTCCAAAGAGGGGAGAACAGTTCCCATCCTGTGCACCCCGTGGTTGAACAAGAAAGATGTCACGCGACCCAGGAGGCAGCTGAACGTGGGCATGAGAGCGGCAGCATCCTGGCACTGCGACGCAGCTCCAGGCTCCTCCCAAAAGCCCCAGGGTGTGGTGAAAGAAAAGGTCATGAGCAAACACCTCCAAGGACCAGCTGCTTCTGGGCTGAGGGCTTGTAACTCTGGACTGCAGACTTCACAGCGAGTTTATTTACAACCTCACCGCCCTGAGGAACGCCTGATAGCATCAGACCGTGGATCCTGGAACCTCGCCAGTCTCAGGACAGGGATCTTACATCTCCATAGCTTTGGTTGCTCACCTTTCACTTCTCCACATGGTCAACAGCAGCGGAAAGCTCCTACAAGGTTACCTGCTACGAACTTCAAGGACTTCAGGACCTCAAATGAGATCACAGAACCAAGCATTCCCTGATCAAGGCAGACTTGGCCTGATAATGATCTATTGACGAATTCTTCTAGCAGGAGAGGGAGTCCTAGAAACCAATATGGACCACAGCCTCCTTTCCTGATGATGAAGTAGAGAACAAAGTCCACCCCTGAGTTGGGAATTCTTGCTATTTCTGGAATAACCCCCTACAACATGTCCTGTGCAAAGGCAGAGAGTTCTCTCACTAGGACTATTCCAGGGCTCCAGCAAATTCCCTCTTTCCAAATAGGAACCACTGACTCAGGAAATTGTCCCCAGCCTAAAGTAGGGGACTGGTTGCATCAGCAGCCTGAAGGTCATTTAGTGGCAGTGGAAAGCATCCGGGTGCTCACCACTCCACCCCATTCCTGCTTAGCCTGTCTCCCTGTGGGGTCAGGCCAACAGGCTGAGCTGCTGGCCCACGGCTGGATCCGAAGAACAAGGAAGAGGGAAAAACTAGCAGTAAACCATCTAGGCTTCTCACAGACACCCTTGAACACGGAAATGCACACGATAAGAAGGAAGAACTTTTTGTCAGGAAGTTGCCTCAAAGAAGAAAGAGGCTGGAGGCCGGCCGAGGGGTTCGGTGTCAGTGTCAGCCACTCCTGCAGAGAACAAGCAGCCTTCTGGGAGAGAGTGGGGTTCTGGGGTAGGAGAGGTGGCTGCCTTGCTGCTAAGAGCTGTCAGCTGGGCTTTTGAGGCCATGATTCCTGGGGAAATCCCAATCCCAGTAAATAAGGATATTACAAATGTTATAATTGGCGAGAAGCATGAACCAGAACTCAGAGACTTTGCCACACCTTTACCTACATACCACCTGCACAGACTTGTTGAATAATATTTACTGCCTATTTGAGGAACAAGCAACTTCCTGATATAGGTGGGGAAACTGAGGCATGAAGTAATTCAGAGGCTATTTAAAATTAACAGGATCTGCTGAAGGTGGGGATTATGAAAGCTCCAGGTCTGGGATCCTGCCTTCCACTGCCACTAAGCAACACAGCAAAAAACCCACAGAGGTTTGCAAAGGGCTCTGAGATCCAGAATCTTCTCGCTGATCATTCCTGAACCTCAGGAAATCATGCCCTTTCCTAAATCCTTCAGGCAGCATTTTAAGCCTGCTTCCTTTTGCTTTATCAGGAGACCAAAGGGACAGCGAAAAATCAAAAATCCTTGACAAAAAAAACATAACTAGACTTTTTGACTGAGGCGCAAGAAATCTATGAAAAAACTGCTTTCTCCCTCCCCGTTTTCAAAAGGGGTTATCAAAAGAAGAGAAAAGCCTGACAGAAAACTAGCATCCATCATGTAATCCCCAGTGCCCTAGAAAGGGATTACCATCCTGGGTTTTAGTTGATGAGGGACTCACCCTTTCTAGGGAAGTCAGGACAAGTTACACTTGTTCCTCCACCAGGAAGCCCCTCCCACAACCATAGGACTGAAATCCCAGAACTGTTTAGAATCGAGGTGAGGGGATTTTCTGACCGCACTCTGAAAAGCTGAACTTTTCTCTTTGAACTGAGCTGCTTTCCACCCAGGACCGCCAACAACACTCCTCCTCACTATGGCAATTCACACACATACACACACACACACACACACACACACACATCCTCCTAATATGCAACTGTCTCGGCACCAGGCACCCGAAAGACACAAGAGGAAAGGGAAAATCCCCAGGAAGGTAGAGTGTCCCATGTAGAAGCCAAAGAAGACACACTCTTGACCTGACAGGTGCTGAACTTCAGGACAGATAATAGAGACTGATTATCTTCCGGTTCCTAAACAGCCAGGAAGTTCTTCCCAACAATCACCAGACCTATGTTGGAGTGAGTGGGTGGGGGCCAGAGGAAAGTCTCATGTGGGCTACAAAAGGCAGACTCTGTCCATTGGACTGACTTCCCAGGTCAGTGCTCTCCAGAGAAGAAAGGTCTCACCCTGCATTCTGTTCCAGTCACTGCCCAGCTTCTGACCTCTCCCTCGGGGTGCAAGCTGGAATAGATACTGGAGAGAACAGCAAGGACGCTGGGGAAAAGCACCAGGTGTCAGAATGGACGGGAAAAGGACACAGCCACTGTAATTCAGAGAAGGAGGCTTTGACCTCATCCTGGGGTCTCTCCAACTCTGGGACTGGGAGCAGGAAAGAAGCTCATTGGGCTGTCTATTTGTCAATGTTGGAAGGAGTGGGCTGTCTGGGAGTGACCCCTGCTCCCCTTCCCGTGTTTGTTTCTCCTCAGAAGAGGAAACTTAAGGTAAAAAAAAAAAAATCTAAATGGTTATGGCTACTCAGCAGAAGGACTGGCTAGTCAAGCAGCAATAAACGTTTGTTGAATGAATGAATAACCTAGTGATATCCTAATTACCTTCCCTCCAAAGCCCAACCCTCTTCTGAGAAGAAAAGAAAGAAAACTAACATTGACTTCTAACGTAATCCCCACCAACTGGATGAGGGGAATTAGTCCCATCTCAGTGATGGGATGGAGTGTCCCACATCTCTGGGTCACTCGGGAAGCAGCTAAGCAAGCTTCAGCTCAGTTCTGCCCACCCGCCGCTAGTCTGCGGGGCACCTGGGCGCCCCTGAGTGGGGTAGGTTCGTGGTCACCGGGCAGGGCCGTTTTCGTGGCCGGCTGTCTCGGCAGGGTCAGGGGCAGCTGGCTCCCGGGAACTGGGCAAAGGCTACAGGCGGGCGTGGGGCTGCGAGGCGGGCACAGCTGCTAGTCGACGTGGGACTGAGGCGGCGCTTCGAGGGGACACCGCAGCCCGGGCGCTGCAGGCACACTGCGGTTGCACCACAAGTTTCCTGAATAAAAGGACACGTGGCCCCGGGGCCCCACAACGGTTTCCTTCGGCTGGTCGCCGGCGGGTCGCCTCCCCCTCGCCCCGGCGGACCCGGCCGCTTCGCTGATCTCCGCCCCCGCCCCCACCTAACCCTTTTCACCGCTACCTGCGCTGTCCCCAGCTCACATGACCCCTAATCCCGTCCAATCGCCCAGCCTTCCCGAGTCCCGCCCAACTGTTCCCGGATCTCGACCCTCGCGTCGACCTTCCCGGGTCCCCAACTCCCGCCACCCTCTAGGACCAGTTCCCGGGCCCCCGCTCGGTCCCCGCACCCTCGCCCCGACGCGCCCTGGCCAGCACTAACCCCCGTGGCCGCGCTTCAGTCTCAAGCTGGCTCGAAGGCGGCGGCCGAGCCCATCCATGGCCCCTCGAGTGCCCGGGCGCCCGCTCCCAGGTCCGCGCCGGCCCCGCCCCCAATCCTTGACCTCCCCGGGCCCCGACACTTTCACTTTCATGCGGGGGGTGGGCCGCGGGGACCGGCCTGGGGCGGGGCGGCGCACCTTCCGGGCTCCGGCCCAACCCCCGGCGCACCTGGGCGGGACGCGCTTCTCTGGGCCCTTGGCAAGGCAGTGTGGGGTGACAGAGGGCGCTCGACGCGCGTCCGGGAGGGGCGGTGCCACCTGGCTTCCACCCCGCAAGGAAGCTCGACTTTCGGAGCCCCGCAGTCCCCGAACGCATGGGGTCCCGGCTAAAGGCACCCCCCACCTCCAGGACGAGGGCTGGGAGGTGCAGTTCCCAGATGGCACCAACCTAACCCCAGAAGGGGGCGGAATTTTCAGAGCCCTCCCACCTTTTCAACCCCTGCACCCCTCTCCTTGCAACTGCTTTGGCCTCTGGCCATTTCTCTTGCCAAATTCTGCATATCACCCTGGAGGCTCTTGGAGAGTTGGTTTAGGGGCCTGACCCTGCCTTCCATCCAGTCTCCTTCTCCAGATCGACAAAATGACGGTCCTACCTGCCCTACCGGAAAGATGTAAAACTCAGGGAATGGAAAGTTTTTTGTAAGCTGTTATGTGATACAAATTTAAGGGACACTGTCATCATCATTGCAACTATCCCCACTCCTCCTCTAATCCCAAATCCCATGGCAGCCTTGCAGTTTCTCCTCCCTCTTCTCACTGTCACTGACTTCCAAATATGCCAAGACTTCAAATTCCAGTGATCAACCATGACAGCTTGATAAGTTCCACTTGTTCCTGGGGGATCTGCCTTGGCTCCCACTCCCTCCCAGGACACGCATCTGTAGGGGTGGGAAGTGCAGAGCCCATCTGAAGTTTCTCTGTTCACCACTCAGCTTCCAGATGGGTCTCAGAGGGAAGAAGAGACTTTGGCAGAAGTATGTCTGGGATCCATGGGATGGCCCCCGCCCAGACCCACATCCCCCTTTCCTCTCTTTCAAGGTGACCCTCCAGTCACAGATGAGGGGAGAGCAGAAGTTGGGAAGCCAGCCCTAGTATTAAACTGTCTACTCTTAGCCTAGAGACTCTAAAAGTTGCCTTTACTTTGGGCGTAGGCAATTTTGCACTTAATTACACAGTCCGTTTCTGTTCCCTATTCTCTGGGTTCCTGCACGCAAGGACACAGCTCTTCCCCAAGTACATTTTCTAGGCTAGACCTTTGTCTTGGGTGTCTCTGTCAACGCAGGAGTTGCTTATGATAAAGTTGCCCCATTGGTCGACTTTATTATACTTTAATCTTCCCAACCAAATTACTTTTTTTTCCCTTAAAAACAGATAAAGAAAAGTGCAAGAGTGCACCGAGAAGACAAGGCAAGCATGTCCATGAAAACCTTATTTGAAATAGCCTTAACCTGGAAAAACCTCACATGTCCCTCAACAGTAAAATGGATGAATTGTGGTATATTCAAACAATGGAGTACTGTACAGTAATTAAAATGAATAAACCACCACTGTGCATACTAACATGGCTATATTGTATAAATATAAGGAGCAAAAGAAGCCAAACACCAAAGAGTACAGGATGTAAGATTCTATTTATATAAAGTTTAACACGGGCAAAACTAGTGTATGGTCAAGATGGTGTTATGTTTAAGAAGGAAGAAGGAAGTAATGAAGTTTACTATGGGCTTCAGAGTGTGGTCATGTACATTTTTAACCTGGTGGTAGATATATAAGTGTACTCACTAAGTATTTTTTTCTCTGCATTGTACACTCTAGCACTTCTCTATATGTGTATGAGACTTTCCCCCCAATTTTTTAAAGTACTCATTAATTAGGACATTAGGACGACTTGAATGACAATAGTGAAATGGAGGTGGAATTTGGCTAAGAATGAAATGAGGAATGATTGGGATTTGAGGAAATGGAGTTAGGGAGCGTCATCTACATTTTTGCAAAGAAGAACTTGTTGACTGGTCTGTAGTTAGAGGGAGATTTGGTTTAAAGTGGTGGGTTAGATGGTAAAGATTAGAGCTTATTAGAGGCAGAGAGAGAGGAACGAGGGCAGAGGTTTAGAATATAAGAAAGTGTGCAGACAGAACAAGGCCTGCGGGGGGAGCAAGGAAGTGCCAGCAGAGGCTTAGGTAGAAGTTTGGCTTAAATAGGAAAAGGGAATGTTAGCTGAGGGGGCAAAAAGAGGACAGCAGTGATAAATGTGTGGATAAGGAAGTGGGGAGGGCAGCACAAGAGGCCTCAGTTTCTGCTGGGAGCAAAGTTCTTTTTCTTATAGCTGCCATCTCCCTTTGTGCCCCTGTGACTGTTCCCCCAAGTCTTGCTGTGGAGTGGCGGACAGTGACCCCAGCCTTTCTTTTCTGAAGGTCTTGCAAGGATGCACACAACGGTGTCCTTCAGGGAGGCAGTGTGACACAACAGCAGGTCAGGCATCTGAGAAGCACCTGGAGGTGAGCCCCACTGGGCCCCTGACCTGCCCTGCAGCCTTGGGTTAGGCGCTTCCCTGAGCTCACTCTCCTGAGATGATAAAATCGCTTCTCGGGGCAGTCGGGAGGATTAGAAAGAACATTCATAATCCGATTTCCAAACTTCTCTTGTCCCTTTAATCCTCACATCCCTGGAGTCTCAGCTCCGCCTCTTTTGAACGCTGAAAGCTCCTGTCTCCAAGCATTTCTGAGCCACTCCAAGAAGCACACCCTCCACAGACCAGTTTTGGCAGTTACTCCTCACTACAGTCCACCCCTGGGGACCCCAGTTGCTGTTTTCTCCATCTGCAGTTACACACATTTGTCTCAAGACAGACTGTTCCTGTTCCCTCCTCTGCTGCTTTGGACTTTGACCCTGTCTTCAGTTTCAAACACTGACAATTGAGATCAAGAATAAGGCTTGCCAGGACCTTGCCTAGGGTTTGCTAAGACTTTGTTTTGTGATAGAGGAAGCACATTGGAAAGGAGAACTTAAAGCCAAAGTAATACCACTTCTAGGGGCTGCACAGGGGTCCTCTCCTCGTCACACCTCCACCTCTCCCTAGACTTGCCCCACGTTGCTGACCTGACTCCCGTGGAAATGCCCTGGAGCTCAGCCCTGCCTCAGCATCCTCATATTCCAGAATGAGTGACCTTGGCAGTGTTTGTTCCACTCAGAGGTAACCCTATCCTGTACACAGGCTCCGATCTGGTCCTTAGCCACGAAAGCACTAGAACAACAACAGTGAAAACCACGTTCCTTCCCCCAGGGTGACAGCATCCACAGTGCTCTATGGTGCTCTTCCTCTTGAGAGGAACAGAAGCCTCAGCCCTGATTCCTTCAAGCTGCCTCAAGTCTTGGCTTTTGATCTCCTGTGAGAAACAGCTTGGACAAATGACTTACACACCTGCCATGTGTTAGAGTCTATAAACAAGTCAAAATAACACCTGGCATTTTGTCAGGGGAATGTTAAAGTTCATAAACAAGTCAGGATGGCACCTAGCAAAATGCCAGAAGGAATGGTTTGAGAAGTAACAAAAGCAAGCCATTAAATGTGGAGATTCCTGATTGGTTGACTGATGTATCTAGTTTATGTTAATTAGATAAGCTGTATGGAATGTATAAATACTGCTCCTGTCCTGCAATAAACGGCTCCCACTCCTGCTGTATCAACATACACAAGTTATTCCTCACCCCCTGATTATTCTGCTGCAGCCGTACTATGGCAGCCAGGAAAGAGCAGCGATGACACGCAGGGTTAGGAAAGAGCATCTGACGGTGGGAAACAAGGATGACCGTCTGTCCTGCAACAAATGCCCTCGTATGTCTCCCCAGGATGAAAGACTCTGCTCTATTCCTTGAATGAAGTCCTGACGTAATTTATCTGTCCCTTGTTTCTTCTCTGGCTTCATCCGTGTCACCTGGTCCCTCCTTATACCATCCTTCTTAAGTGCCCCGATCTTTTCAATCCCAACTTTTTTTTGCACATGCCGAGACCTCTGTTCAGAATGTTCTTCCTTGAAATGCTCACCTCCGCCACCTTCCACTCATTCTTTGCATATTGCTTAAGATATCCTTTCTGAGAGGACTTCCTTGACTTCTGGCCCCATTCAAGCAGATCCTCCAATCACACCTTTCCTTTGTTCCCTTAAAAGCATTTATAATTATTAGAACGTATCTAGTTCCATATATATTTCTGAAATTATTTGTTCAACTATTCTCTCCTTTTCTGGAGTCATTCCCGGGAGGCATGGGCCATGTCTCTTTTGTCTGTCTATGTCCCTGTTGCCTAACACAGGGCCACACACACATTAGATCATCAGTAAATACTGCTGAGTAAGTGAACCAATGAGAGAATGAATGGATGAGCCGTCTGTATCTGTCTCAAGCACAGCAGCCTCCATGCTGCATCCAAACACACACACACACACACACACACACACACAACAAATAAAACAAGTTCACAGTGCAATTCCAACTCCTACCATGTGCGAATAGGAGTTGCCATTCTATTATTGCATTTTTTAAAATATGCCTGTTTGAGACATATTTTTAAATGATTTCACCACCAAAAATATGTGTTATATTCCATAATTTAAAACACTCTTTGGTTTTCTGGTACCTTTTCTGCAAATGCTGGAGCAGAACTTCCTGGGTCGACATCTCAGCTCTGCCAGTCATTGCTGGTGTTACATCAGACAAGTTTCTTTACCTCTCTGTGCTCAGTTTTCTCAGATTTGATGGGTACCTACCTCATAGGACTAAATGACCTACTACACATGAAGCATTAGGCATAGGAGGCTATTGGGAGGTCTAAATAGAAGATTGACATGATCCCACAAAGGTGAGCAAGAAAGACAACATTCTTGTGGAAGAGATATCATGTGGTGGTATGGGGGTTAAGACAACGACGGAGCAGCCCTGGATCATGGAATAGAAGCAGGCATCTAGCCTGAGGAATCAAACCTACCCCAGGGAGACAAAAATAAATTGTGAAAATTCTGCTTACTTTTTTATTTAACTAGTAGACTAATTTTTAGAGTTTTAGGTTTATAGAAAATGTAAGGGAAAGTACTGCCAGAGTCCGGCTGCCGCAGAATAATCAGGGGGGTGACGAATAACTTGTGT